GAACATCACAATAGACATTTATACACCATTCGATAGCCCTTTTCAAGGGCTACATTCTAGACTATTTGTTTTTGAAAAAGGAGCAACTTCGATTTTTCACCTAATGTCCGCCTAGATGCCCACTGTGCACATGTAGCTTGAAAACCTTGACATTTGATTGTACAGTAACGGCTATTAGGACATTTATTATCACCAAGTGTTATCTCATTAAAACACTTGGGACACTCTTCTGACATTTTGTACAATAAGGGATTAAGAAAGCTCAGTGTTTTGTTTGTTTTAATGAATATGAATTTAAAATTGTAGCAATACCATTCCACAATGGTGCTGACATACTTGTACTACCAAAAATTTGATAAGTTTCATTGATTACAAAAAAGCCCGAAGCACCAAATGCAGAAATATCAGGAAAGCCACGATTATATTCAATATCAATTAATTCTGTAGCACCGACGGTTGTCAAATAGGGACAAGCTGCTGGATATGAGATAAATAAAATATTTTATTTGTACAATTTGTTTCAAAAAATCCGTTTGCACCACTGGCACTGAAAGATGTCAGAATACTAATTCCTCTCATGAATAATTTCATAAATTCAATGTTTGTACGTCGTGTATAAATCGCATTGGAATTAAATGTTGTATTACAATCGCCAGTGAAACCTTTGCATAGACAGATTTCCGAATCACCATAAGATATTGATAGCACTTGTGGTAAATGGTCCAATTGATTTAATGTTAATACTTTTGTACAGAAATTTTCACCACTGGCATCCGGATTAACTCTAGATTCATAAGGAGACATCAATAAAGGCCGTCTACCAGTCGCTGCACGAGAACCACGACAGATCGTGCTCACTCGATCTCTCAGATTTCTTTTCAAAACACTTTCGTTTTGTAGAGCAAGTCTAAAAACCTAGAAATTCAAACTTTTAGCCTTATCGGACTCTGGGTTCCGAAGTTATGAACGGTTGTCTGAGGCATCTCAATGAATTTTTTACGACTAAAAAACTTGAAAAAGAATTAGAACCTGCATTTCTCTATGAAGATAAATGATAAGAACCAGTCTTTTTCAGCACAAGTAGCTTGACATGGTAGTTATCCAAAGCCATATTCACAACTTTTCTATTTCGGCTTTTCAGTGGATGAACCCGATTTTCCCAAGAATCTCTCACGTCTAACTTGTTTCAAGCTTTTCTCGGTGTTATGAACTAGAATGAAGCAAGAGTAGCTAAGTTCTGTGAACTGGCTACCGGACTACAAAAGGCGATCTTCAAAAGTTTGGATGTCTGGAAGGATCTCTGGAAAACCGTCAAGGTTTTCTCGGAAAATTTTAACTTGTAGAAAAGAACCTCGATATTTATTGTCACATAGCTAACAGTGCGCAAAATTCTGAGCCAGATTAGTTCTAGACCTCCAACGGTGCTATTTTCATTACTCACTCAAGGTCATTATCGCTGTACAATCATTACATTTTCAGATTATTTCGGTCAGTTTCGCGAATAATCGACTTAATAGCCATTAATTTTCTACTGAAGTTTCAGCGTTATTTAAACTTCTGTACTTTCATAAACACTAAGCTAAATATATCAAATTAAGTCATTCACTATAACCAGATAATGAACAAAATAGAACTGTGAATTATGGATGGTTATCTTCCAAAAAAAATATGCGAACATCATTTTATGTACACGTACTCCAGAAAAATGACACGTCATAAAAATCTATGTCGAATGATGGGAAGGAATAAGTGGAATATCATTTTTC